ATTTACACCATAATTTCATTGATTTATTTCTATTTTTAAACAAGATGGGAAGTTGAAAATGAATGTTCCTAACGTTTTCGATCTTTATGAATCACAAGACCATTTACTTTCGGGTTAGTTCAATCTTACTAGCATATTATTCATGAACCCTTGAGAGTACAGATTTTCGAAATAATTCCGATTTAAACATGGACTGTTTTGAGTTTCCGGTCTAAATCTAAGTGAATTTTTTTGTAAGTACCTGTGATAATAATTACCATTATATGAAGGAAATACTTTTTAAAAAGATTAAAATGATATAGAGGACGTTCAGATATTATTACTAATGCTCACGATAAATTAGAATTTCAATTTGCAACGATTTTAGGAAAAACAGTTGTGGCCGTGTACAATTTGAAAATACAATCTTGTTGTCAAAGAGCCCTACTTTACATGAGCAGTCGATTCTTCCAGTTATTCTTTTTCCTGCGACGTGTTTTATGATCTCATTTTTCCGATTTCAGGCTATATGCCTTCACCTATTTGCTTCTTCTTGAAGCTAAAATTAGATTTTCAAGTAGATTTTCCAACATAATAGGGATCAATAGAATTTCTGAGAAAGAACTTAGGCTACCACGGACCAGACAACGAAATCAAGTGTGTTGGATTGGGTCTTTGAACAGTATTTTTGCTTCTCTCCTAACGGCCGTATTTCCGTAAGTGTTTGAACACTTAAGAACAGAACACTTGTAAAGCGGAAAGGGGTAATTGGCTATTTTATTCCCGACTGCAAAACCAGTTGTACGTGAAAGCCACACAAGTGACTTGTCATTAGTCCTTTTGCTCATTAATATTCCTTACAAGGCGACAAATTGTGTGCCTCGAGATCGCAGCACATAAATCGGTTCTTTATTTGCAAATACTTAAACAGCGCTGGTCTCTACTCAATTGTGCTATCTAATGCGACTGTATATATATGCACTTGATTATTACAAAACACGCCATTTCAAGTCCGCCTGCCTACAATAAGTAGGTTGGTTTATTTTAAAGTCAATATGAATTAAGATATCGCATGTCTAATACAATGACATGCAAACCAAGTGCCTTTTAAGGTAAGTAATTAAGGAGTTTAATACACACGTCGTTATAAGCCTATCTGTACAAGATTTCAATTTTCATAAACAGCAAATTCAACCTTGTAATTTGCAGTAGATTTACGTTTCAACAAGGTTGTTTCCTGGACGAAGCAAAACTAGACATTGAGGGAGAGTAGACACTTTCAAAATAAATTAGCATTGCCTAGTTAGACAATCGGAACCCACTGAAAGGTAGAGACAATTTGTAATTTTTTAATTGTGACAAAGTGATATAAATTGATTGACATTTAAATTCTAGGAATATTCTAACGAAATAAACAGGAAGTGCGATTTAGTAAAGTTTAGTTAACCATTTGACTCTCGGTTTTAAATTGCGCGATATTTTACACTCCGAAATTTCACTTTCATTAACCTTCACCTGGATCGCCCTGTTGGTCAGTTCTACCATCGCAAATCATTTTGTTTTCAAGTGATTGAGAAATGTGATTTGCTCTACATCGTCTAAATATGGTAAAATAGTTAAGTTAATCCATAAAATTTAATTAAAGAAAAAATGTTTTATTAGAAATTCCCTTACTACACAGCCTTAGAGTTTTGTTTTTTTCTCCGAATTCGCATTGTTTCTGGCAGTTCTAGAACATTCCATTTATTGCAACATCCGGTTTGAATAAGCCTCTATCCCTCTTGTCTTCCAAGCCATGTGTGTGTATCAAAATTGTACCTAACTAAAGGTCGTGGACAGGATATAGACCATGATTTCAAATATCCTGATTTACTAAATCTCAAATAAGAATCCTTAATCATGAGCAAATAATAACTGCCTATTGGCGCCCAGGGTGATACAAGACGACCTTGACCCATTTTTAGTCAATACTGCTCAGGACGACTCGAATAGAAGGTATAACCTGACATCATGGGGAAGGATTAAAAATAAATATCTAAAAGGCACCATCATTGTAGATATTCGGTGGGAAATTGAAAGAACAGTAAATGCTGTCTTTTTTCCTTCTTCCTGCCTTCTTTTTCATTTAAAAGGCACCGTTGACCCGACTGCACACTGTTTACTTACACTCTAACCTCCACATGAGCACATGACTTAACACTCTGGTTAGCATTACTCTTCTATTGATTGACCAATAGTTCCCCACATCTAGCAACCTAGAAAGTTCCTGCCTCAGTTAATGAGTTCATTTGATCGTTGTTTGACCATGATCGATCCAAATCGTGTTCAGTGCTGTACCACTAGTGCGCAACCAATGTTGTCAGTACCTTCAACGGAATCGCGTATATTCCCACTTTTACGGTGGCATTTTCTGAGATTTGCAGTAGGCTGAAAACCAACCCACATTACTGGTATATGAGTATGAAAAGTCAGTGTAGTATATGAATTATGCAGGATGTTATTACAATAACAGTGGGAGCAACGGGCAGGCAACATCCATTTGTACTGCAAACACTGCTCACCCACCCTTCCCCCTTCTCGCTCTCACTCCAAACTTGGGCGAGGCATTTCCGTTTTCTGCAGTAGCAGTTGTAGCCAGTGATTCAGCTCTACTCTTACAGCTGATTGGCCAGAATACGAGCTGTGCTCATCCTTCTGGTGTTTCGGTTTTGGCACCAATTTAACGCCTTTTTCACTCAATTTACAATCCTTCTCCCATTGCAGTCTATAGCAAACGATGCTAACTAGATAACCTGCCTCGAAGTTAAAAGACAAAACGATATTTAACAAAGATGTTGTGAAATTAGGACTTCCGAGAATTGTAGTTAAGGGCTTCTAGTTTCGACCAACATAAATGAACGTTCGCTGATCATATAAAATCAAACTTTATTTCAATGAGTTTTCTGTTAGACCATTCAGGTTTGGCCATAATCTCATCCAAAACAACCTCAATTTCTCAAGTAATTGAAGCAAGTCAACAAATAATTCGACTTCTTGATCATAAAAGATGAGAAGTGAGATATTATTGATCTAGGAGATTAACGACTTTTAATGAATATTAAATTTTGTTGGGAAGTTAATGCGATCGACATTTTCAACGGCAGACATTCTCAAACAGTACAACATAAAATTCACTTTGCTAAGATTTTTACAATGAAAGCTGGATTTTTAGTATTTGTCATTTTAAAATGATTAAAATGTAATTCTTATAACGAATCAGTTTGATAGGCTGTTCTTCCCATTTTGAACTTATATTATGCCTATTTAAACTTTCGTTCCAGTTTTGATTTAACTTACAAACGAGTTAAAACTGTTTAAAGTCAATTTGAGCGAGTTTTTTGATGAAAATTATCGAGTCCATGTCACTGATTTTATTTAAAGGGACTAAATCGATCCCAGTGAAATATGATTAACTTCACCTATAACGATAAATATGCTCATTTTTAGATTATCCTCTAAGAGCCTTTCGTCTATACATTCCGTGTTTTAAATGGCTCAGTTTAACTTATTATTAACAGTGAGGAATCTTTATGTTTATCTCATTCGTAAAATGTCATTATTGTTGCGAGCAATGTTTATAGTTTTCTCAGTGATGATCGGATACTGTTAGGGTACTATTTGTTGCTGATCCAAATCTAATTTATTATTCCTACATTGCAATATTCATCCAAATAACCACATCTATCATGCTCCCATAAGGTTAATTTGGTCCTAAGGACCTCAGAAACTGGCGTGAATTCAAATATCTTTGTTTCAACACATTTAGATTGTTAGTTCTAAAAGATTACGGCAAATTCCTAGACTATTCTATTGCCACTTTATTTCCACAATCATCAGTGGGTGCATAAAACCCCCCCCCCCCCGCCATGCCAATATTCTTCTCTTTTACCAAATGTCGTATATTTGATCCGTCATAAACCTTTTTTGACATAACTGCAATACACTCTGCCTATGAAGTTGGATTTAATGGCCAACAGCAACCCTTCGTTTTCCAAAGCGCGGATGCACTAGGCATAACCCCCCCCCCCCCCCCCAAAACNCCCCCCCCCCCCCCCACAAACTATCAGCCCACAAGGACTTATTTAATGAGTATCTCTTAAATATCTGCAGCGTGATCGTATTGCCCACATTTTTGCCTTTTGTTTTCATATCGTTCATTTATTGCTGGTGTTTTTTTTGTTTTGTTCTGTTTCCATTTCAATTTGTATTACCTGATAAGCCCCTCCCCTCATTAAGAACAGAGTTTACTTGTTCGCTAATTAAAAGTGTTAATTTTAAAAGATCAACACTATTTTAGCAGAATGTTGCTTCCTTTTGGTTTCTAAAATGTTGCATTTCAAAGTTTTCACAAAAAATGGTTCATTCAAGCATGCCAGGTGTCAAATTGACCTTGACGCCAGTGTTGAGCTTTGAAATATATCCCTCAAAAACTTCACCAATAATAGTCTTAGAAGTAATACAGTACATATTATTGGAACGGGTGTCTAGAGAACTGAATAGAATATCAGTAGGGTCTGGATATTGTTATAAAGGCCATATAAAGGCAATAATTAACTTTAAGACACCACATATAACCAGATCATTGAATTAAGCGTCAACAAGGAAAAGGAAAGGAAACAAGGTCTACGATTGAATGAATGGACCATAGGCCAATTACACACATGGCTAGGTACAAGTTAGCATGACATAACGATATTGTGGAATGCCGTCTGTATGAATAAATGTGACAACAAATAAAATAAGAATATGTGAAAATTTGGTAATAGGGGTCATCAGGTTGACCCGATAGGAACAAAGCACGTAGTCGTAAATGCACTTTGATTTCTAATCAGTAATTGATAATCACTTTCTACTAGGTTAACTGCAGTAAGTTAGTTATCACCTAATAAAGGAACAAATTTTTCTCATAAATTCTATATAGACGTAGGAAATTCGGTTGATTCACTGTGAAACTCACATTATGACCAGTATCCATTAGATAGATGGGTTGTCTCAATCTCTGGGTGCTTATGGATGCGTTCCCACGAAGTTGTTGCAGGGTATGCCATATTTATCCTATGAAAACTTGCCATCATTCATGAATCCTTTGTGACAGCTACGCTCCCCGTTGCGATACATCATCTGTAACTAAGGGGTTGGTAACACGATCTCCTCTACAAATATGGAGGTAGTCATGAAGTTGATATCTTAAGGAACTGTCCTAAAAGCGTTAAAGCTAAATAATCAGGATTAAGTAGTCCTCGTGGTTGTCTGTGTATTCTAATCCCATAGATGAACCATCGCATTGGTTAAGTCGGCTTACTTAACAAGATGACGAAAATCGGATTCCTTACCTCCATGGTTCTATTTTATTATGTTTCAATCAAAAAGTAGGTATTGATGCAATTCCTGAAGGGCCATCTAATCAAAGGCCGTAATTTAATCCAATTCCCTTATTCTAAAAAAGAACACAAACTTTCCCGAGGGGTTTCGTTCCATGTGGTTGGCCCGACCGTTAATGGGCACATTTTATCTTATTTGCTTTATTCGAACTGGGTAGATTGACTTGATGCCTTTAATGTTGCCTATTTACAAACATTTCCTTTGGAGACAATATTAATAACTTGTTTCCTCCGAAATTACAATGACTTCAAGATTATCTTTACTCGAAATTTAAAATAGCATTGGAAAGTCATGTCGAACAGGCAGGCAGGCTTTCAGCTATATGCTTCACATTTTTCGCCTTCTACGCCTAAGAGTGAAAAGTTGTCAAAAATGCAAGTGACGAACGAATTCTCCATGCGATTTAAAATGCCCTAAATTATTTTTAGCATTGCGCTAGAAATAATTTTCCTTTTTTCTTACGAAAATTGCTTCCTATACAACTTAGTTAGAAACTCTCTGGGTTTTTACTAAAATTTATTTCCTATGAATTTATCTTTGCGCCTGGTTGTTAAATATCATTTTTAAGTTTTCATTGCCAAACATGACACCACTTGATTTATCACAAGGGAAGATATCATGGGCTCAAGTTTCTATGCAATCCTCGTTTAATAATACTCGCTTGGGCGACTAAGTGAATCTTGACTTCAGTAATACTTGATAAACTGAGGGAGTCAAAGCCATACTTTGTCTCATTGCAGGAATTTAACTCCTTTTAAATAAATGTTCAACATTTTACAACTTCCTTATTGTTGCACTCTAATCAAACTTGTCATCGTCAATTTCTCTCCCTTTTCAACGGAATAATTTCTAAATTATAATTTTCAAGGAAATATATTAAATGGTAGTTTTTTTATATTTCCAGTCTCAAACAAGAAAGAGGAAAAGAAAGCTGGAATAACATTTTTTTCCAATTTATAAATGAAATGACTTGCAAGGACTTGAAATAGTGATAGATGATTGACTGCCTGGTTATCCAATGAGTTCAGTGACAGCTTCTTCACAGGTGGTGATACATATCCAGATGTGAACGAGGGAATTCAATCAAGTCGATAACTTGCAATTGTCGAACGTAATGGAACCACTTATAGACTGCTGCCTAAATAAGTTTATCTCAGTGGCCCTTAAAAGCCCTTGGACTGAGGGAATGACTTGAATTATCAATACTTATATTAGATATTCATAGAATTTGGAGTCGGTCGTCAACCATCCACTCTACGGTTATTTGCTAGTTGACTTGATTCGAACCATCATGGTGTGCGGTCTTTCGCATTTATTACTGACCTCTTAACACTTGATTGATCAGCAAAATAAACCCCCTTTTCATGGAGGGAAGGTTGCTTTTAATTCCCCATGTGCACCGGTCAGTAATGCGATCAGATTCCATCTGAGGTCGTGTCATAATGTGGTTCCTTCAAGTGCTTTCCTGCCTGAACAACCCACCAAGTAGTAAATTTCCACTGAATTTAAATCAGAATTATCAGACTATTTGAAAAAAACGAAAGGCTTGGCATCAACTAAATCGAACACAATTTTCTCCAAAAAATCAATCGTAACCCCAACCAAGATAACGATTTACCAATGCTAACGGAATTCCCCTAATGCATTGTTTTCAACTTTAGTGACTATCGTTGCGAGTGATTGTACTTCTTTTAAGTCATTAGATGGAAAAATTAGCTATCTAATTGGCCAGAAGGTATGAATGTGAAAATTCAATATTCGCGATCAACTGCACGAGGAATGAAATTTGTGTAATCAATCTTTGGTTAACTTCTTCAAATGGCCTCATTCAAAACATTATTAATGAAAAGATATGAAGTGATACTTAATTCCGCACATAAAGTGTGAATGTTTAGAGCCACCTAAAAGTCTTATTTTTAAAAATATTCACTGACAATAAATTCCTAAATATACGCATTCGTTTTGACTTTTCTTAACTTTATTGTAACTACTTTCTCCATGACCCTATTGCCCTTTCAGCGACTTTCAACTGTTTTGAAATGAGGAGTTTTATTACCTCTTGAATACCGTCTTTCCCCTCACCCTTCTCACTATTAAGATTTCTCCATCGATTGCCATATTTGGAGTCAAAGCAACATGCATCTCTCTTGAGTTTGCTTGAGAAAAATATTCCAGCAGATGGCAATTGCTTTAGTCGCATTTCGAGACACATTGAGCGCAAAAAAAATCGAAAGTTCACGTTCGCAGGTGTTGGTGCTGTCGAGGTTATCTACGTTTTTCACGCAATCTGTTTGCGCAGGTCAGATTCAGACAAAAATGCTTACTCTATTTTCAGTTTTTAACGTCAATGGAGTCGAGATTCTTAATGGAAATAATTTTGTATGTCAAGGATAATCATTATTTTGAGCCAAAGCAATAGAACTTAGTGGAACTAATAAAATTGGAATTGTGATTTTCACTCTTTTAATCAAATATTTGTACGCTGTATTTTAGATTCAGCCAACTACACGAAAGAAGTGCAAGAGTCTACAAGTAACAGGATCTATCCAACCACCAATGAAGATTTCGTTTATTCAGTTGCGCCGGAATACCATAACAACGGTGTCGATAACCTAACTAGCACTTCGCTGAGTATAAGTCAATCCATTGGCCATAATAGCAACAGTGGCCGAGAATTTGTAGAGCCTACGCCTTTCGTCCCTCGAATTGACCTTCCGCAGCGTCGTGTCGACGATAACAATCGTCGGGCACGTCGAGACTATTTCTCCATTCCGAGAGCTTCCAATGCTTATGATGTTGTAGATGATAATTCCAATCCCTACGGATCCTCTAAGAAAGAATCCTTCGACTTTCAGCAGAAACCAGCACAACGCAGCAAAAGCGTCTCCAGAACCATGAATAATACTGACGGTAGTTTCCAGAATCAACCTGCCAATGGTGTCATGAATGAGGCTCAATCAAATGGAACAAACAGTAGAATGTACAGTAGATCCTGTTCGAGATATCGAAGTACTGATATGGATGTTGCTCTTGCTAATACCACAGTGTCTCGGGAAAACCTTACCACCAATCCTTTGAACGGTGATGGTACTAAAAAAAAGATGGCTTTGTCCTTATTCGATTTATCAAACAGAATACCGAGTAATCTTCATGCTGTTAATGGAAAGTCAACGAACTCCCTACTTGAAACTGACATTGATACTGGTGAACAGAAGAGTCAGCAAATTGTACTGGAAACAGATGTGGATACATTGAACACATGTCGTTTGGTGGGAGGTTTTAGAGCTGAGGATCAAGGGCCTATACAATCAGCTAATGATAAGACCTACAGTTTATTTAACTTGACAACCCAACAAAAATCAGATAATAAACATCACAGTCGAGCAGACGCCTATAAGCGAGCTCAAAGTCTCTCCGGAATTACTAAAACGGGGGAATATCGAAGATCCGAACCTAAGGCAACCACATCTGGACTCGTTGCTCGGTTGAGAGCTCGAGCCCGATCTAACCATGAGTTACGCGTTGCTGAGTCGCTAACAAGAATCCATGTCCCTGATTGGTTGGACAAAGCGGAACTTTCTAAACCTATTTCACCAGTTCGTCGTTCACCTTCCGCATCACCACCTCGAGAACCTAATACTCCAGCTGTGCTTCAAAATGGAACTTCTTCATTACCCTCAACAATGCCGATTCAGAGCCCACTACTCCATTATACTAGTAAGACCGTAGAAACAATCTCAAAACCCACCAATTCCTTACTCTTTCCCTCTCGACCAGATCCTCATCGACCTCTTAGACCCAGCCAAATTTTGCGAGAGCGAAATGCTTCCTCTGGTCCTAAATTAGTCCCCATTAAGTCATCTCTGAAGAGTTCCATGAAAAGTCAGGTGAAAAGTGAAAGTGGAAAATCCTCAACTCCTTTGATTCGTCCTGATCCAGCTGCTTCTTCCTCGCAGGCTGTTCATCTTTCTCCCGAAGACTTCCTAACTCGAAAAGAAATGGTTTGGAATGAACCGACCTCCAGTCCTCAAATCCCTCCTCCTGCTCCCACTGCTTACATGAATATTGCTGCTGCCTCTGCAGAGATTATCCAAGCGCCCAAGCAACATCACAGTCTAACACTTTCTTCCCCTTCCTCCCTATTTTCCCAACCAAAGTCTGCTCAAAATGGACATTCAACATCTATAAAACCAGAGGAAGAACGAATTGCATCGCCAAATAGTGCAAACGGCAGTGAGAGTATCAGAATGGCGGATTCTGATAGCTTGGTGAACAATCAATTTTACCAGCCGATGGAAGTGACGCTTAATAACAATAAGCAGGCACCAAAAAACAATTGGATTAATGATGAAGAGATCTACGAGGAAGTCCAGCGTCCAACCAAATTTGCACCACCACCTCTTTCTATGCCTCGCAGTTCCCCTTCGAATTCCTCATTCAGCAATCATGTCGGCTTGAGTTCAAATCCACAAAGTCCCACTTGGCATAATGCAGATTCAGATGGTGAGAGCGAAACTGCGGCAACAGATGGCCTCGACAATATATCAGACCTCACTTGTCTAACCGACCTCCTTGATCGATGCTCTTCTCGACATCTAAATCTTCTGCAAAATCGTCCATCCGCATTGGAGAGCGTTATTTCTCAATTTGGCTGGTGGTCAAGTAGCAGCTCAAATGGTAGGCAACCGCAACACGGGTCTGGAGATTATGTTGCTCTAGCAGCTGGCGCTTTCAATCCTGACGAAGACAGCCATCGAAATGAGTTCTTGACACTGCTCTGTAGTCCATCATCACATGGTCCACTGATTCTCACGGAGTTCGGTTTTGACCAAAAGAGGATAGGCATGGACAGAAATCCCAAAGATGGCATGCTTTACTTGCGATGTAATAACCCATCCTGCCCGAGAATGGGTCCAACTAGAGTCGATAAGGCACGGTCATGGCGAACATGTACAAATTGTTTTACCACATATTGCTCCCCAAAATGTCGAGAACAGGCTCAGGTTGTTCATAACATGGTATGCACTTTTGGTAGAGTTCGACTAGTCTGTGGTAGGATTCTGCATAGCTTGTCACCTAGCCAGCAAACAAGTTTAACAGCTCTTGCTAAAGCCGGGGCAACTAGACTTGGCCGCGGAGGAATTCTTATCACCTTCGCTTCAGTTCAAGATGCTGAGTACTTCCTGGCAAGAAGTGCCGAACACGTGCGCAGACAACCTCCTGGGGTTGTTTTAACCAATCAACCAAGTCCTTCAGGACTCATAGCTCCTCCAATCTATCTAACCATCGATGAGTTGAATAAGTTGGATTCAAAGTTAGCAACTCCTTGTAGGATTTATAAACCTAGTGTCAGCTATGTTCTTATTGTAATCGTTTGTGCCTATGACTTGGAAATGATGAAAAATGGACGAGCGGTACATCTTTATAAGCAATGTATCATACTACCATTTCCCATGGCAGTCCCCCAAGTTCTTTATCCCGTGGAGGTACCACCGACAAGATCAATTCTCGGAGGTAAAGAGCTGAAAGTGCCACGAACGACTAAAGAAGAAAGAGAAGCCTACTTAAAACAACTTCAGCGAACCCTGCGAGAACGTGGAATAAGTCTACGCCACAGTGAACCCGAAATTTATAAACGTTTATCAGCTTTTGTTGAAACTGGTGACTTCTTCGAGCCTATTGAATTTGATTTTCATGATTATTACTCTAATCAAGTAATAACTTGTATTGTTGCTCCAATGAAAGACGTACTAATTCATAAAAAGTCAGATTTTTCGAGAAAAATTCTACCTGAAGGGACACATCAGTCACGAAATTATTCAAAAGAGAAGGTCTACCGAATGCCCAGATCTCGAATTGGGGAAACGGAGTTGTAATTGTTCAGGCAAATCGGTTTCTTTTTGGCATTTCTTGCGCAAAATATTTGCGAATGCTCCCTGAAACTGTCTTTCTCTTCCCCTCACCTCCCCCCCTGCCCCAATCCTATCTCTTGCACCTCCTACCTATTACCGAAACGACTAACTTTAATTACTTTCGAGATTTTTATCGTATACATGTAATTATTGGTACCCTACTTCTCATGGAAATAAAGCAATGAACCATTGCCAAAATTAACTCAACATTTATTCATTATTCATTTGTATGAAATGGTTTGAATTTATAAAATAGTGATTTCTTAAAAAGATCACCTAGCAGGTTGACGAGGTAAATTAAAAGCATCGATTAAACTGCATGTGGGTTTAAAAGAAAATGAGCTATGGCAAAAAAATTGTTGGATGAGCAACGTCTTCTAGGTAGCAAAATATTTATTATATAATGGTTATATAAAATGTCAGGCTTTATGATAATTAACTTCTGCCCGTTGAAGTAAGTCTATCACACACATCATGTAATGTAATATAATCTTATATTCTTGCAACCTTAACTAGGCGAGATATAACATAAAGAAAATTGGGTCTTATACATCTCTTTGATTCCTACCAATAACACAGATTGCTATTATTGGTCGATTCAAATAAAGAGAATACAATTTCCCGTCTCGAGAAAGTATTAAAAAGGAAGAACAATGGAATACAGGGTGGGGAGCATTTATTAAGAGAGCAAAAGTTAGGTATCGATGAAGTCATGGTCAATTTGAATTCGGATTGAGTTTGGATACTTATTGCATCACTACTCAAGTTCTCAACGCTTCGAATATCAAAGTTCCGAGACTATCTCCAAAGCGTTTGAGCTAAAGCATCCGCATGATATCCAGTTATTTATTCATTATATTCTAATGGAGTCATTCTATGCTATTTTTTTCAAATGAAAACTTTGCTTTAAGATCTGACTTTACTTACCAATACCACGAATTGAAACAAAAAATGCATCGAGGCATGTGACGCAAATATCTAGGCGTGTATTAGACAAATTCTACTATTCTGATGGCCACCTTGGCAATTCCTCTGGTTGATCGAATACTCAGTAAGGAAAATTTATTTGACCAAACAATGACATGAATTTGTTGAATAGAGCATCATTGTACACCAACTTGTGCAATCTAATCTGAAATTCAGTTAGTCGTTTAAGCCAATTTAGTTATTTACAATTGCACTTTCTTTATAACGGTGCAATAAGTGAAGAGCTTTATTGTCTGACATACTGAATGGCCTAGATTACGCAAATGAATAGGTATGAATAATTGATTGATAATTAAATCAAACATTATAAAATTTTAAAATAATCCAGTTTGTTAAGGCTTCGTCTCATAGCCAAAACTAGAACATATTCCGGACGCAATATGAGGAAATTTAATTTTTATTTTGAGAAATCCTGTTGAATTGAATTGAGCAATATGAGTGTGAGTAAGTGGAGATTACTATGCATTTGTTAAATAAGGAGGACTTTACAAAAAAATTAATACTCTGCTTAGGAAATAACAATATCTTCCAAGAGTCAGGTAAGAGTTAATTTAAGCAGCAAATAATGAGAATAATATTAATTTAAATAAAATATGCTTAATGCTAAATCCTTAATCGTTTCCTGTACAAATAGTATTTCTGCACTTTGGTAAACTAGATCACACCGATCCCCAATACACTAATAATACACCATTAAGCCAGGCAACGACTGTTTTAATGAGATCAAACTAGTACATTAGATTTGGACCACTTCTCTGGGATGATATAGCAAATGGAACTTATTGTAATATCTAGAAACTGATGAATATTTCTTGAAGCACATTTCGATTGATGTGCCTTACTAACATGTTATTAACTAGAGTTGAGTTGAGAAAATACGATTAAAAATTTATCAAATAGAAATATTAACAACTTCCGAAAATAAAAACTCTTGATATTTCGATAAATGATCTATTTCTGGGCCGAGGTACACAAACCAAATGATAGGGAACTCATTTGAAAAGCATGAAATAAATAATTATGTACAAAATAATAGTGTTGCACAATTCCTATTAACTTGTTTTCATCCAAATCTAACTCATTTATTTAAAAATAATTAAATAAAATCCAAGAGGATGAATAAATTTTTCTCATAGCAAGTTTCTCATATATCAATTTAAACTTAATTTTTTTCAGAGTTCGCTGGTTTCTACATATATAGGCGTTTATCCTTAACGAAATAATTGCTGGTCTTTACTACTCAATAAGGTTAGCAAAATTAAAGACGATTAAGATTTGTAATAGGAATCTAATGGAAATTGAACAGGTTAAACATAAATCAGCACTAATTAATTTAATGAGCATAATATTACGAACTGATATAAACATCATCTAAAATTATACAAATGCAGTATGAAACTATTAATTCTTTTCATAACTGCCTTCATATTGCACAGTAATAATGATTCTTACAGTGACTTTTTAAATGAGGTGATGGGTGGTAAAAAAGTTTAAATCCGACCTGTAAACAAAATTTTGCATACGCTTGACCATTGGCTGTCTGGTTACGTCACTATGGATAGATACATGAACGATATGCCAAGTGATGCATTGGAATCAAATAGGCTTGTAAAGGTAAGGAGACTTGTTTTTTTTGTAATATAATTAGACGTTTCGGTCCTGTTGTGATAAAATCGTTCCTTACACGATTACACGGTGGATGCTACTCCTTTGGTTATGTATTTTCTACATTATTCGTGTGGCTTTTCTTCAAGTAATTTATTTGGTGTTTCTAATATCAGGGTTTTTTTGTTGTGTCTTATGCTTTAGCTATATTTATTCTAAGTCAATTCCTCGCATTTTTGACACCGCAATTTCAGCCCAATGAAAATGGTAATTACTTATTAGAATAAATAAAATTTTGCAGGTGACCCTCTTCTTCCTACTAATTCTGATGGCGAATTCAGGCCCTTCATGAGACGTTTGTCAGAGTTTAAGTTTTGGTAATTCTTGTCCTTTTCCTAATTCATTAAATCAGGAAGAGCAGTTCAATTGCGACTGCCATCTCCATACTTTGTACATTTTTCCCCATTTTTGATCTTCCTGTATTTTGGCCAGTGTTGCTGGTCTACTTCCTAACTTTGTTCTTTGTCACTATGAGACGCCAAATTGAGGTAAGACTTGACATTTCTGTTTACGTCCCCTTAGCACATGATTCGATACCGATATCTCCCCTTCACTTACGGGAAACCACGACCTCAAGGGAAATCAATATCGTCTAGTCTTCAGTCTATATAGCTAACTTTCGTATGTCCCTGATAGCAGTCCTCCCGTCTTTCCAGTTTAAATGATGCGGCATTAACAACCCTTCCAGAAAGTGTTTGTCATCTAACTCGCTTTATTTTGGAGTCTTTAATAAATTCTTTTCTTGCAATCGCCTGTATTACTACAATCGAGCAATATTTAAAACGTTTGTTTCACTTTATTGGCGGAAAAACGTAAAGTAAAAAAGTATCCAATTCATTAAAGGGGGGGGGGAGAGAAAAGACATCAAGATATACACAGGCAGTGAGGTAACCACGAAAACATCAGACGCAAAGGCGCAAGGCAGGCTCCATGATAAAACTTACATAGTTCGCTTTCTCTACTTCCTTCGTGTAGACGATCTGCGCCTTGGTTGTATCGGCTTGGACGTAGATTCTAAATATTAATCCATAGTTATGGACGTGTGAAAATGTAAAAATTACCATCTGATTTCTTGGACATTGAGATTGCATTGATATCATTGGTTAAACCAGAATGTAGCACATCTGCAGCTGGTCCCCGCCTATTCCTATTATACCATAATAATTAGGTGCGAAAATTACATACCAAAAAAGTCTAAAGAAGAAACGATAACATACATAGGTGAAAACGGTCGACGTTTCCTCAAGTTCATCGAGGGCGCGTTCGCATCCAAAGTGTCTTCATCAGTACCCATTGTCGAAGTAACAGGATTTCCCTTAGTTTCAGCTTGCAATGTATCCTCCTCTGCTTCCTCGGTGGGTTGCTGCCTAACGGCCGTCCAAGGAGAAGAGAGGCCATCATCAGATAGCTCATCATCGTCATCTTCTCCCATGGTCGAAAGTTCGCTTCTGTAGGGCTCATCAGGACTGTTTAAAAGATTAAATCAGAGAATCAAGGCGTTCACAAAGCAGCCCAAGGGTAAAACGCACTTACTCTAATGATTGGTAATTATAAAGAGTTCTACGCCATTTCTTGACCATACCATCCCAAGCACGACGAGAAACCTTACGGAACTTGTTTGGTGTTCGCGGATGATGGGTTTCGCGATCAACTTTGGCTATATCCGAAATATATTGCTCGTATATATCTGCGGACCGTCCCCTATCAATATCCCTCTGACGTCTAATCAACTCATCCAACCGAGTCTCAAAATCATCCTCAGACTACAAATAAACGCACAGAAAAATGATACTCGAAGTTAACATAAAAATCCCGCGAATCGCTCTACTTACTCTTGATGAATCTCTTGCTTTGACTTTCTCAATATACCTACGTTTATCAGCATCACACTCCCGCAGAAGCTTATCGTTTATTTTTGGATCAGACTTCAATTTATACAGTTCCATTCGATCTTTAGCTCTTCTAATCTCCCTGTATGAGTATCGTCTCGAACGTTCAGAGCTATCGCCAATCTACATATATTCAAACAGTAATGGTCTAAAAATAAGAATTACGTCGGATATTTCTGACATAGAACTGTCGGATATATTTATGGAAGCATTCTCTCTAAAATTTGGTCGACGAGGACGTCTAAGTGCAGAGCGATCGCGCCCAGCCGGCGTTGACATCCTCGGTGGCTTTCTTTTTCTAAGAGACCGATTGGAGGGAGTAGCATTCATAGATTCGGGACTAAAATTTCTTTTTTTAAAAATAAGCATCCTACTTTAATGTAGATTGATCCCCACCCATCTTTCTAGAACGAGGAAATCGACATCCAGCATTTCTGACAGGTTCACTTTTTCTGGATCTTTTGGTATAACTACTATCCGCCATCTGCATAAATGAATATATTTTATACTTTATAAAAAATATAGCCAATTGTAATCAAAGCGCAAAATAATAGCCACCCTTAAAAATTTGAATATTGAAACAATTGACTCAAGAGCAATCTTTAGCAGATTTAAACGCCGCATATCGAAATATCATAAATCTTAAGTTATTTGATATTAAATTAAATACATATGATTTAGGTTAAAAGCCATTTAAATTTCAGAAGTAAGGAAGGAATATAGTTTGCTGGAGCTAATGCTTTTTATTGTTAGATTCTTACTTTTTATAAATCCAAGAGCAATAACATGATAGTAATCAGTGGAGAGGAACATCATAGTCACAAAAAGTCGAGAGGGGAAGCAGGTGAGCGTTTATAGACTTTTATTTCGTATTAGTAAACATTGCTCAGGTTACACCATATGGAAGTAAATCTATCGCCTACCTCAGGAACAAAGCTATACATCTCATCCCCGACTGTAATGGTACCAAGGATCCCATATACATCTACAGGTTAAGTAGATCCGCCACGTTGATAATGACTATGCTTCGGGTCTGCATATAAATACTATGACACAGATACCGAATAAATGTATTTCGTCAGATACGCCTGTTTCTTCTATAACTTTGAGGTAGCTAGGTTAGCTCTGAGAGTCTTGCCAAATATAAATGGATCTTCTATAGAGATTTCTGAGTATAATCAAGGCTCTATTTAGCAGACACTGACGATGCGATTGGTTTTCTCATTGCACAACTAACTTGGTGATTTCTTTCTACTGGAACAATCATTATTTCATCGACACAATCCTTTTCCTCCCTCTGACTTCCTCAGGATGTAAGAGGAAACAGACATTGTAAATGGAATAAGTTACGTTTCTAACGCCTTCCCCTGAATTACTCTAACAACTGGATCCATAACGGCGTTTAGATAGTCTAGGCGAGAACGTTCGTCTTGCTAGCACACTGCCGGACACTCCCATCCAAGCATTCGTTCGAGTGTATACAGAAACGAAACTGTACGATGGAAATTATAAAGTTCCCATGCGTAAGCTCAAATATTTTATCCTCAACTGCAATTGTATTAGGTATTCAATAAGTATCGAAAAATTAAATTCAGAAAAATTTTGGCATTTCAGGTTCGAGAGTTTTATTATGGACATTTGCATGTAAGTGAGAAATACATTTAAAAATAGAATTATGAAGTGAAGAATTAAAAACATTAAGTAATTTTAAATTAGGTTCGTAGTTTGCAATTGTTCATTTGGGAGTACAATGGATTGAATGAGATTGTCATTGCTTTGTTTGAATAATTTATTTTACATACACTTGTCTTAAAATAGGTTCCTTCAAGATGGCTGTGGCTCTTATGAGTCCAATTATCCAAATAACTAACATATCGCCATCATGTTCTCTTGAACAGATACGTATGTTATTTGGAAACATTGGCGTGATTGAGGAGCTAGTTGTATATCCACCCGAAGGTGATGATTGTCCAAGCAAGGTACGTTAATCGCTGGTTATACCATTTTAGGTTTGTTTTATAAAATTTGCGGATGCAATTAATGCAGAGGTTGCATTACACTTACATAACACAATGTTTCTTGATCGGGCTTTGATAATTCTTCCCGTAGTGACGGAAAATGCTACCATTCCGGACGAAAAGTATGCTGAACTAGTTCGAGCTCCGTTGCATACCTCCGCTGGTATTCATCCCCGCTCTACTTTATGGCCTCTCGATGTCATCAGCATGGTCGTTGGTCGTCCTGGAGAGCAGGTTATACAAACTATAGATCCGCGACTATCATCCATGGGTTTCCCTGCTTACCCGCCATTACCTGCTGCTACTGACTGTAATCGAATTGAGGAGATTCGCCGGACAGTTCTTGTTACCAATCTAGATCCTAAACTTACGGGTGAACAGGTATTTCCCTGCTTTATGTTCAACTTATGCCCATCTTGCTCCTATGATATTTTCTTTTTGTTCCTTTCAATCTTTGTTTTTCGGTTTCAGCTCGTTTTGTGACTCATTAGGATTAAGTTCGTAACGAATATGATTATGGACGATTGTCCTAATCTTTTTATTTGCCCGACCATTTTGTGCACTAACTTTTGTTCATCTAATGTTTAGGCTAATTTCTGGGAAGTTGCTATCGTCTCCTCTCTTGGTCTTTTAGACTTTTCATATGAATTAGGCAGTTCTCTAAATATCATTTGCTTTACAGGATGTGTTTTCATTTTTTATATACATAATTGTGGTTTTTGTTTTTTTGTGTTTTTCTCTTGAGTTCTTCGAGTTCCCAAACTAGTGTGATATCAACCTAACTAGTGCATTCGCGTAACTCATTCATTCAGTCAGTGGTGGTCTACCACGCCAAGTAAGGTAACTATATTACCTTCTCTAGTCATGAAGATTCTGTCTTTAATCTAAAGTGTGGGTCTCCTTTATGCTATTCCAGTTTTTAATTATTATATTATTTTAGGTTCTTGAATTCTTCAATAACCACGCGGAAGTCAAGTGTGTTCGTATGGCGGGTTCTGACGAGGAAAGGGCCGCTTATGTTGAGTTCACTGAGCAATCATCTATTGTCAAGGCCTTCGGCTTAATGGGGAGCACACTCGGTGATCGCCAGGTAATTCTGTTATTTTTGCTCGTTACCTTTACCCCCTCTATAGATTATGGTTCAGCATTCCAACTGTGCTATCATCAAACCTAATAGCAGTCTGGCGGGTCTTGAGGACAATATTAAAAAGAACAATCCACGTAGCAGTAATGTTAGCACATCCGGTAGGTGATTTCATTTCATCTTTATTTTCTTATCATACCGTTAACTATATTCATCTTGAAGTCCATCTGTCTACGTTCTCTTGTTAATTGGAATTCATGATATTTCCATCTAAAATATTATTTTTTCCACACTTCCATAAGTTCGTAGTGTATTTGCAGGTGGTGATATATATCCAGATGTGAACGAGGGAAATCAATCAAGTCGATTATTTGCAATTGCTGAGCGTAACGGAACCACTTATAGACTGCTGCCTAAATAAGTTTATCTCAGTGGCCCTTAAAAGCCCTTGGACTGAGGGGATGACTTAAATTATCAATACTTATATTAGATATTCATGGAATTTGGAGTCGGCCGTCAACCATCCACTAAGGTTATTTGCTGTTATATGTGTTGCGGTCTCATACATGGCACTTAATTTATAAGAGCCTTTCGCAGGCTTATTTCCTATTTGGATGTTGAAATGAAGTTTATTTATTTCTTGAAGTCACTGAAGGAATGTTCAATCGTATGGTCTGTCGCATTTAAAAATGTTATCTAATTTCCAACCATACTTTCGGCAGTGTAAAGTTTTAAGAGTTTGTTTCATTTCCCTTTGCCAGTACTAGCCTTTACTCTGATAGAACTTGCTTGTGATTGGATAGAAATGAGTGTTATTCGTTGTTTTAATAAATATATTTCACTTAATCACCTCTATGAGTAATGTTTGTGTGTAACTGTGGCCCTTATGAATTTATATACTGGATTGACGGAATCTCTTTCCCTTTTTTATAGGGCGAATAAGAAGTCGGTCCCGGTCGTCATCTCGTCGTCGTTCGCCATCCCGTAGTCGACGTCGAAGATCACGAAGTTCAAAGAGACGTTTGAAGTCTCGATCACCACGTCGTTCTAGATCTAGGCGACGCACGAGCAGTCATAGGTCTCGATCGAGACGAGGACGTCGTTCTCGTGTACGCTCCCCCTCGTCACCACGCCGTCGCAGCAGCCGGAGGAGTAGGTCACGCGAAAGACGTCGACGTTCACGAGAAAGACGCGAGAAAGAACGTCGGGAACGTCATGAAAGAGATAGAGCTAGGAGGGAACGTCGTAGCCGCAGTCGTTCTAAACATAGGGAGAATGGGAAGGAGCGAAAGGTGAAACGTTATGACTCGAAAAAGGATGAAAAGAAGTCGAAAGAACGCAGTAACAGTCATAGGGACAATCGCGACAGGCATGCCTCAGAAAATGGCAAATCTAAGTCTAAGGAACAAAAGGAGTCAGTGAATTCTAATTCTGTTGAAGAAATGCCACAGTCACCATCGAATACCACCAAAGATCTAACTCCTGGTGAAGTTGTTAATGATGAAAATCTTGCTAATGACCCAAGTTCCCCCAGAAAACCTGTGGGTGTGAAGTTAGCCGGCCCAGAGGAGGAAGATGCTCAGGCCTAAACATATTTCAAGAATCATTTTTGTATGTGTACAAATTCCCTTTCAGGTGTTCCGGTTGTTTATCGCTATGTCATTGATATATGTATACATATATAACACAAATGCCACTCTCCGCTTGTCTTTTTCTTATTATCTCCATTTTGTTTTAATCCGAAGTTGTCGTGGTGAATGCATTTGCTTCATTCTAGAAACTCTTCCCATGGACGGCACGACCAGCTGTACAGTTAAGGAGTTACAGAATGTTAATTTCTTATCGATTGCTTTAGGTTGTTGCGTCTTTGCCCAACTCGGGGTAAATGTTTTAAGATTGCAGTTTCACCATGCATGAATATGATACGCCACAAGGTCGTTGCTCCATTTGTATCTTGCTCAAATCTGCTTTAACTAGTAGTAATCGGTGTTGGTGGGTGAGAGCAACGCAAGCGTGTTTTTTTCGTTTCTTGATTTTGCTCTGTGTGTTAATTGGCGAATTTTTTGATAATTGCGTATTTTGATCGCGCTTACTAAAGTTCGGATACTTAAATCCTCGTGGTTTCGTGAAGCTCTCTTCACGTGTCTTATAATCTGGAAAGCACGTTAGCAGCTGCCTGGCGGCCTAACTGCCTAAACTGAAGTGCGCGTCTCCACACAGAGTGGGGACCTATGGGTAAGCCGAACCGGGGACTATTTCCTGGGTATAGTCATTTCATCGGTTGCTGTTGATCAAACGAGAAGTTCACTTTTTGGGCGTGATCAGGGATTTGATCTAACTACTATGAAGATCTGTCTTAACACACAATGAGAATTCAAACGAATAATTCGACTATTGCCGCAGTTCACATTTAACCGATATTTCAACTTAGATGACACGCTTTAAGATAACTATTTATTAAATTCTGCGCGAGTTTACATAAATTTAAATCATAAATAACGCTGGTAGAGGGGACCAATCGATCTGGTTGAGTTCAAAATCGTTTGCACATTTATGTTATTTATTCGAAAATGGCGAAGTAGAGAAGAGAGGTTGACTTTAATGTCACTGAATGAATGTGATGATACTGTCGTAGAACTACAAAACATCGTAGTCAAGAATGGTGAAGGGTGCATAACCCTCGACTCCCCTTCTATTACGGAGTTGATTCCAATTCAGCGAGTCATTGAGCACTTCCACGTATTCGCCAGCCTTGAGAGAAATCTCCTGTTCACTTTCAGCCACGAAATCACGTGTCACTCTGGCTACTCTAAAAGAGACACAAGTTTGCTAGAATTCGTGCCTACTCAGGTACTTATTTCGTGCATAGTTTGTAAATGAGCACATCACCTTGCTCCCTTTCTGCGTAAGTAGGCTAAATACTCATCATGGCCCTGGTTACCTTGTCCCGTAATCAAATTCGCCCTTGAACCTCTTGATGACTAAAAGTAATTGGAAATTACCATTTGAAGCAATTTTGGCCATTATCAAAAATATGCAGTGAGATTTACTGAAAGAAAAAGAATACAACTTTTGATATGAAATTTACACTTTTATCAGATGCCATTTTGCAATCATTTTTGTCTTCACATATTCAGATTAGCTCAATTGAGGGTCCCCTATTCGTACTCTCTATAGCTCACTTATTAAATTTCCTATTGCTTTGTAATTTATCCTTTGTGAATCCGGACTCATAAGCAAGCACTTCAGTCTCATTTTCTTTTGAACAGCCAAAGTGATCACTGAGAATAGTAAGACGTGATCCACAATCCCCCACCTCACAGGTTTGTTGTCGGCTAAGACTAGCGGGTCCTTCTACAGTGTTTTAGTTTCTCGGTGATGACAACATGTAGAATGAAACGGAGTTGAGCAACGTTGAATACGAATCACACAGAGTATTTGCGTGAGTGATATATATTACTAAATCTAAATAAAACTCAAAATAACATCAATTATTATTGGAAATCCACATGCATTAAGAATGATGCAGTTCAAATTTGTTGAAATACCAATAAGCTAAGCAAACCTCAAATTCATATCTCAGTGTAAGATCACTGAAACTAAATCCATTTGCTTCAAGCCGGATGTCAATAACCAAATCTCAACCTCAAATTACTGTTTCAGAGTAATTGCACTCAGCAGCTATGAGGAAATCTATGAAACTTGGCAGCTTCTGAGTTGGACTTTTAGTGAATAATAAAGAAATGAAATGCTAAATTGTAATGAACAAATATAAAGATGTCCACGTACCATTCCATTTATAGTGCTACTTTTTCTTGGGGGCGGTTGATCGAAGAGAGTGTGACGATACTGATCTGGCTGAGGCTTGAAACCACATTTGAACTGCGGAATATAAGTAGGCACATCAACATCCCACTGTTCTCTATAAAATGAAGAATCTCACTAGCACTGCTACTGAATATTTTAAAGTAGCTGTTAGAGTACTAAAACATACTTTTCAAGGCACCATCCATTTCCAAGTTCACGCCATAAGCTAAGTTCGGGCTCAATAAGGGAGTTTAATATAAGTTTAATGGCTGCCTCTGGGAAAAGCGGGGAAATGACCTTCTTGGCCATCTCAGGTTCATTAGTAACGGGATCTCTGATGAAATCAATCGGCTGCCTATATATACATATCACAAACGTGCATTACAAAAATAATTTGGAAGGGCGAAAGTAAGACAAATTTTTAGATCACCTCATCATGGAGAACAATTTGTGGGTAAGTGTTGGAGGATTTGGCTCGGTGACATAACCTTGCAGACGAGAAAGCAGAATGATGGAAAATTTGATTTTCTCAAATAGATCTATCAACTCATCATCGGAAATGGGGATTTCAACTTCCGAGGTTATTGAAGTGCTACCTAGAAAAAATAAGAAAAGTAAGGTGGTCAAATGCTGCGAATCTAATCTAACAAAGGCTACATTCCTAGTTGGGTCAGTGAAAAGGATGTGCTACGGCATATGGTCAGTTCTTGTAACTGCTAGTCATGAATCGAAGGTTGGTAATGCCTCATCCTCATGCCGCTGATTAACAAAATACATTGTTCCCATATCCAAAGTAATCATGCTGATGCTGAATAGGTGTATCATTGTAATGGGCCACGTAGGGTGCTTTCGTACACGTGAAACAAGAACAATATGTGCTTCCTAACATATTTTGAATAAAACAGGGGTGGTGGTGGGGGGGGGGGGGGGGGGGGGGGNGGGTTGATGGGTGAAAAAAATAAGTTGAAGTTTGAGAGAGAGAGAGAGAGAGGGGGGACAGCTTTAGCCTCCTCAAACAATTTCTCCATTTATTTACTCCTATATAACATTATGATAGAGGAAATTAATTGTTTAGGGTATATGGCATGGGCTCTTATGATCAGATCAGATTTCAACATAAAGCGCCCGGGGAAAGGTAATTTTGGCGCATAAATGAGAAAGGGAACATCGTTTTCAGCAGAGCAAGGTAGACTCTCTCTTGGGAAACCATAAATCAGCTAACAAATAGATACGGCGAAGAAAAAGGGAAAAATGATAATATGTTACATGCTTGTTTATCTTCAGATACTCGCATATTAAACTATTCTTCAAATATAGTAGACAAGTCAGCGCGGAATGAGATAATATGTTACCTAACAGAAGTATCAATTCTGCAAATTATACTGAAGTGGCTAGAACGAAAAAGATACTCAAAATATTGAGATCTAATATGTTGTCTGCTCGCTTGCACTTTTGAATGCAAATAATACTCGGAAGAAATCTGCAGGAACTTTAGAAAGTTAAAATGAAACTGTATAATCATAATAACACAAAGAGCCGATCAAATAGAGATTCACCTTTTCAAATTAGGAGTGACTAAAATCCATGCTATTTATTACTTGAGATGGAGTCATTCGATGAAGTCAGTTTCATCACAGACGGGAAGTCGGTTGTATACTTATTAACAATTATTCATTAAGGTGCTTATTAATTATAGTAAGTCATGATATCGTACAAATTTTAGGTCACTCACAAATTTCTTATTACTGGATGCATTCCCAATCAATAATGAAAAAGTATTCGCAGCCAGCCTTCGACAGGCATTCATATGCCCAATAAAGGTAGTCGGCTCCAAAGCGCTAATCTTATTAAAGCATCTGCACCAAACATGGCCCCATTATTTCTGCTACTAATTTATTGAGTAGTATGTTGGGTAGTTTATAATAAATGATGAACTCACTAGTGACACGAGGCATATTCTGTTTAGATTTGCTTTTGGGTGATCCGGTGCGTTTTTTGAAAAAGAAGCGACGTTTTTTCTTCTTGCTATTCGTGTCGACCCCGGCGACGGAGACGTTGTCATCGGTTGCATTGCCAACATTGAGACAACGAGCTCTTTGAAGTTTATAAATGTGGCCCACGTAGCTCTCAATGTCATCGAAGCACATATTCAAGAGCACTATTTCACCATCAATCAGTGCTTTCTCTCTCATTTGCTGAGGAGTAAGCACGGCTACAAGCATGAATAGTGCATAAATACCGCAAATCTTGAAAATGCACCAAATCTCAACTCATGTCTAGACAGCAGTTCTGCGTCTAGGAAGAAGAGATTGCTATCACCACTCAGTGTAACATATTCTGAGATTTCTGAAAGCTATAGCTGGTTTGTGAAAAAGTATGGTGAAAGGATACCCTAGTCGCTACGATATGCATTTTGATAGAAGCATGCAATGTACGTTTGACACAAATGTGTAGATATCTCTGTTGTTAGGGTCAAATTTCCCCTTTTCTCCAAGAAGTGTAACCTACCCAGCCTTCTATCCGGGATCGTATTCACTAATGGCGGGGGTGGGGGTGGATATCAACCAACATTTCAATAAGCTGGAAAAAATTGTATCATATTTTGAGTTGAATTATTAATAAGTATTATTTTCATTCAGATATGTGCATTGTTAATTCTCACTCGATTTACCATAAACATTCACTCAACCCCGCTCTCATCAATTATCCACTTTTACTTATTGCCTGAATGAATATTCACTTAACTCTATTTCTACGTCCTCACTGGCAAGTCAGTCTAATTTGCATTTTATTTGCTAACTACATGAATAAATTAAGAAAATGATTCAACTCACAATCCAGTCCATTTTCAGGGCCTTGCTGATTGCTTTGGAGGCTAGAATCAAATGTAGATTGCCTTCAAGGGAGAAAAAATACTTTTTGATAATCACACAGTTAATATTTAATAAAAAAAACACAAGTAATTGCTAGGGCTAACTATTTAAAGAACAAGCCTGTTTGGAAGTACAGTGATCACTATCTCATAAATTTTATTGATTTTGTGAAAAATATATGAGTGCAATAGGACTAATCCGAAGTCTAAGATCATTTCAACGACAAAATTGAGTAAACCTTTTTGCTTATGAAAGCCTTGTGTTCTCTCTATGTCGAAGCATTCGCAAAAATGCACTTCACAGCCGAACTCACTCCAAATACTGCTCCGAAATATGCGCATCGTCTTGTAAATTAGCCTGGATTTCGACCAGAGCATCAACGATTTCATGTGCTGGTGCACTGACACACTGAAAGGAAGGCAAGGGGGTAAGATGAGCCTGGCACAACAAATGCAACGGCAAAATGCGATTTTTTCTCAAACGCACCTGAAAGATATGCATTTCGTGTTGTGGAGGACCGCTCTTATTACTTAGGGAGGCATTCACGTTAAACATGAGAAGATTGTTGTAGGAGTCTGTTGGGTCATTGGATTCCTTGTAAATCGGTGATATGATATCTTCAAGTGGAATACACTCGCAAACATCCTAGGGGCGAAATTCAAAATTGAAATAGCTCTCCTTTTATCGAAAAGTCTCGGGTTTGCCTATTTCTATTCAACAAATTAAATCGTTAGCAAGACCCTCTCTCTCTCATAAAAGTAATGCTTGAACTGATATGATTCCGATCTGCGAGTTACAGATGAAGTTGTAAAATTAAGACTCCATGTCTATTGTGCAGAGAACAGACTTCCGTATCTTAACTTAACGGGCTTAAGTCGAGTGGACTTCTAGAAACGGCTTTGTTAGGGGAGCTTATAAGTACAGAGGAAGAAGGGAAAATGGAAGAGGCATACAGCGAGAACAGCTGCTATGAAGGTATGAGCAACAAAATGAGTGAAAGAGCTTCAAGGTATGAAGTCGTTCTTGTTGTGTCTTAAGAGATTCTACTTAGGGCATACAAATGAATGATTACATTAGCTGATAAGAGAGCAAAGCTGGAAGACTATGCAGTGGACATTCGAGCACCGTCACAACAAATGTGATGGTCTGCCTCTTTAATTGTATCTGAAGTATTTTTCATTGCTTTACATAAATATTTTTTTTGATATCCGGGAACCCACTTAAAATTTCAGTTGAAATTCTGATATATGTGAATAAAGGTAATATTACCAGTTTCCTTTCCCGCTGGCAGTAATAAACGATGTTTTCGCAAGGGAAACATATATGTGTGTATTTATTTTAGAGTTTATACGTTATTAGCTATCTTACGCAATGCCAATGAATGACGTAAATGAAATGATTTCGTCACTGCTATGTCAAAAACGCAATAACCATAGGAACAGATGTTTTAGAAAGCAATGAAAATGGCAAAACACTTGTCAATTTGTCAGCAGTAAAACGACATCCAAGTTTATGAGATATAAAAGTTTAATCAATCAAAGGAGTATTTTCAGACCAATTTCGTGTTTATTTTACTATCAATTTTGCCATGTTTACAATTTGATGCGGGGTGATAATGAAAAACAATAATTTCTTTAGTGCCTCTGAAACTGTCCAACCTCTTTACTTGATCTTTCCAAAATACTCTAGACTCTAAATTCTGGAATAAACTAGGAGATCGAAAGTGATAAGTCCAATAAATTCAAAGACAAATTTCAATGCGTTATTTCTCACAAAACAATCGGAAATTGACCAAAACTGCCCTGAGGTGAGAAGTGAGAAGCATTAAAAAAACATGCGTCTCTAGCAATATATTTTAAGCTATCAAATGAGTTTTGATAAAATATAAAGTAAACTGAACTGGAGCATTTAAAGGAGGGCATGATTAAAGTAAAAACCAAATAACCATTTTGGTAATAAAAATACATAATAAAGAGAAAAATTACGAGTGAACTTTAAAGTTCAAATGATAAAGGTACGCTAACTTGATGATTACAACTTGTGAACGTTTCTTCCACCGTCACAATAGGTGAAACGGCTCTGTGGACAATACGTCAATAAATTATACCTGAGTGGAAATCTTCATTTTTGGAAACCGACATTCTTTGCTCCTTTCAGTCAGAAGATTTCGAAATCGGATACTACTAGGCCGTGCCAACCCCAGCATGTCCGATAATAATGTCGCATAGTGCAATAAGAGCTGTAGAGAAACTTCCATTCCATAAGGACGAAATCTGCTCTCAGTAATCCATCATGTCTACCTTACCTCTCTCATTCCAATTCATGTAAGACACAAAAATTGGCTTATCCTGTTCACAAGGCTAATTGAACTAGCGTCCCTTCAAATCAAGCAATGACGTGATGTTTAATTTACTGACCTAGTTATATTAGGCAACTTGTGTGACTTCAAACAAATTCAAAACATAGTAAACTAGTAAATAATGAATATAGGGTCAGTAGAAAAGAAGTTTTTTTAGATTCGAATGAGCACACACACACACATATTTATATATATCATATAAAATAGAGTTATTTGATTTCCGTTTTATTCATGGGCAGTATCTATGTAATGCACGTACGCCATTTGTGATATTGGTAACGAGAAGCTCTTTCTTGTATTTTTGTTCACGAAGGATGAGTTTGACAGGAGTGACTGTGATCTGCTTACAGTCCGCAAGTTGATGAAGGCGTTTGAGACTTGACTCCGGATCGGGTGGATGTCGAGTGGCTGATGTAACTAGGGTACTCAAATGCTCAGCTTCATATTCCCAATAGTTGCGTCCCCCAGGGAGCCGACTATTGGTGTGAGATCGATAGGCCTGTGAATTTCTATCGTTATTTAAAAATGTACACATGCTAAATTCAGTACAATATTCATTGTCATATTTTTCATATTCACAACTTTAAAGCACAAATGTAGTCCTTGAAAGTTGAAATAAAGCACGATCTCTTAATGGAGGATTGTGTCATTATACTAATAAAAACGACTGCAATGACAGTTAGTTTGCAAAAATGTCAGGAGTTTTATAAAACCATTCTGTTAAGTGGTTTGGGGAAAAGCACTGGTAATTTATTTACAACTTTACTAAAAGAATTATAATTATTATATGAATGAAATATTTGGTTTATAGTTGGAACTTTTGACGATATACAGATTCCATATTGCAATAATGTTGAACTGCTTTTAAGTGGCTTATTTTAAACTGTCTTCACTAACTGCATCTAAAAAAACAATAGAATTAAAAACAATTATGACCTAGTCACATTCTTTCTGATCGATAGAGTTAAGCTGACTCCTAAAGTTGATTCTGACAACATGTAAAATGAAACTTATTTTAAATGGTTTTCATTCATTTAAAATGAAAGCTTCAGTGTTTCGAATAATATGCCACAGGAGGACATTAAAAATGAAATTTCATCATTAGGAATTTTGAAAGAGATATATTTTTTAAAGTACCAGCTTTAATTTTTCATTTAAATAAACAAATTGAATGCCATTTATTTTTATAGTCTAGCAAAACTTTATGAAGAATAATATGAAATCTCACAATAATTGCTGTAATATCAATATATATGTATAAATAACACACAAAATAAAATTTTTATGAGAGGAATCAAAATTAACTTTACTTTGAAGGAATGCTACCGCCTTGTACCGGCATTGATAAGTCTCGCTTCAAAAGGGGTAAGTTGATACAATAATTAGGCTTCTATTCCTACCACCACCACCACCACTGTTTTGGAGCTTCTACAAAATCTAAAAGTCTCTGCAAGATCTAGAGAGAGAGGTCAATTCAGTGAGAACTGTGAAAAGCAGCACGGTAGAGAAAGAGAAAGAGATGCCAATCACAAAAACAGCGTGCCTATGCACCTTCTTACTGGCGAAGTCTGTGCCATTGCTCCTGCGTCGACATGGTAACGACCTTCACGATGCAACCAATGCACCTTTACTCATGTGTTGAGTGTGCTCTGAGGCAGGTAAGGTATAATTTGCATTCCCTCTTCTGTCTACTTCTGTGGCCACCTAACTGCATAACTGTGATCCATTAAGAAAAAGGTACCTCTTGCTAAAGCCAAACTTAATTTATTCGCCCGAAATTTATCAATTGTTTAGCGATCCTAGGTATCGAAAGTCGGTATCGAGCAGCGTGCCTTTTAAAATATGTACTTCGAAAGTACGGAAAAGTTCACTTTATTAGACCTGTATAACCGGAGCACTTCCCGTGTTCCTTAGAATACCTCTTACTTATCGAGTTTCACACATTGTTTAGCACGTCTTTCGAACCGGAAAAGGCGAACTATAAAAGTTCTTGATGGGATCTTCAAATGCTTAGGTTCTTCCATCTTCTAATACTTCAAAATCAGGTAGAAAACTATTTCTTCAAGGTGAATAAGAACGTATATTAGTTCCAGATTGAGATCGGTCGAAGTATGTGATTAATTTAAATCGAAATTTAGCGATTTTGATACCGAGATTCAGAAAGGTAGCCTGTTAGTAGATTGAGTAATTCACGGTTTAAAATGACTAAAGTCGGAAATCGATAGATTTTATTAAAATTCTATCGACCATTATCCAAAGCAAATTGGAACAAAAATTATGTTTATTTATTAAGTATTAATAAAGTGATTTCAGATGTCCTTGAATATTTATGTCCTTCCATTTGTTTGAGCTTTCGTTTTCTTCGGTTTGATATCATTTGCGGCGTTGGCTTTAGCAATGTAACTCTAGGGGTTGTGTCGATTTCCCTCAATTTTGACAAGTTTATGAAACGTCGTGTTTTCCAGTGATCATCATCTACTTACATAAAATGGCAGGCGTTTCGATGGTCATCATTAGCCCTTTAGTTGACTTCAGGCTTCACAGAGGGGAAGGAACATCAAATTGAAAAAAAGTTGAGAGGGGGGGGTGCAGAAGAGTATTTCAAAGACGAAGGTAGAATAAAGGTGAGGTGATTAATGTGGAAGTAGTCGAATATGACATACAGTGGGGTGATGGTAGTTAGAAGTCAGAAGTCAAATGCCGGTCAATAGACTTTTTTGCCGTATGAGTATACGTTGCCCAGGGTGCACCACGTGGAGGTAAGTCTATCGCACACCCCAAAATGACGATCATCATAGGTTTTGATTGATGTAATAGTGCTTCGTTTGTGCGATTTCAGTGTTATGATACTTTAAATGTTATTCCCACATAATCAGAGCGGTTAATCATTCCGGCCACTGAGTGGATAACCAGATGAGTCGAACCTCTGGCATCCGGCGCAGAAAATTTTGAGAGTTAAAAGAAAGAAAAATTANCCTCCACGTGGTGCACCCTGGGGAACGTATCCTTATGCCTCAAAAAGTCTATTAACTGGCCGTTAACTTCTGACTTCAAACTTCTATGGCCCGACTATTTGACATATTCGACCTCTTACACAGTACTCATCTTGCCTTTTTTATGGCTTTGTGTCTGTCTGTATGTCTCCTTTACATCTGTGAATCACTCTTCTGTTCCACCTCTCGACTTTTTGTCACCTTGACNTTTTCTTCGGTTTGATATCATTTGCGGCGTTGGCTTTAGCAATGTAACTCTAGGGGTTGTGTCGATTTCCCTCAATTTTGACAAGTTTATGAAACGTCGTGTTTTCCAGTGATCATCATCTACTTACATAAAATGGCAGGCGTTTCGATGGTCATCATTAGCCCTTTAGTTGACTTCAGGCTTCACAGAGGGGAAGGAACATCAAATTGAAAAAAAGTTGAGAGGGGGGGGTGCAGAAGAGTATTTCAAAGACGAAGGTAGAATAAAGGTGAGGTGATTAATGTGGAAGTAGTCGAATATGACATACAGTGGGGTGATGGTAGTTAGAAGTCAGAAGTCAAATGCCGGTCAATAGACTTTTTTGCCGTATGAGTATACGTTGCCCAGGGTGCACCACGTGGAGGTAAGTCTATCGCACACCCCAAAATGACGATCATCATAGGTTTTGATTGATGTAATAGTGCTTCGTTTGTGCGATTTCAGTGTTATGATACTTTAAATGTTATTCCCACATAATCAGAGCGGTTAATCATTCCGGCCACTGAGTGGATAACCAGATGAGTCGAACCTCTGGCATCCGGCGCAGAAAATTTTGAGAGTTAAAAGAAAGAAAAATTAAGGAAGACAGTTACTATAGTATCACTGACTTCACTTCAACCGTTTTGAATATAAACTGAAATCAATTTAACTAAGTAAGACTTGTCCCAATTATAGAACCAATTAGTTAATTTTGGAATAATCACCTTTTACTACAAATTTAGAATCTGTGCGTTCTTCAAGACGATAACCAAGCTAAAGAAGAAAGAAAAGGCACGTTTTCTGTATTATAGTGACAAATCATTTCAACTATTTCAATTACGTTTCATATATGTTCGATACATCATAAATTTTACGATTTCACTTGGACAAGTTTTGGATTAATCGCTGTTTCAATGGAAATGGGACGAAAGAAGAGTATGAAACATCGATTTCTTCGAAATATGATTCATAATGATGCATAGTTACACTTGCACTTGGATAAAAAATATCGTTACTATGAAGTCAATTTAGATAATTTGAATCTCAGTTGGTACATGGTTTTTGGAAGAAAAGATCGAATTCAAAGCACCTCAGTCCTTTAAATATCAAAATCTTCCTGGATCAAGCAAGCGTCCTGATCCTTTAGACCTCGACCTGAAAGAGGTAACGGCTTGAAAACCAAATGGACTAGTCTGAAAGTCAAATTTGATAAAGGGATTTGTTATCGATTTACAATTTCATTTAATTGTGGTGCGCAATAGACTTACCTCCACGTGGTGCACCCTGGGNCCCAGGGTGCACCACGTGGAGGTAAGTCTATCGCACACCCCTAATCAAAGATTATAAAGGTACCTTGGTTTGCAGTAGGCAATGACGCTTGTCATTTTCATTAAAGAAATTTCTTCTCAAAATACAAAGACCTCCAAATACAATAAAAGTTGTTTGTATGATTCAAAGAAAATTTTGAACAATTGTTCAATTAATTAATACTAGGGGCAGGTAGCTGACTGAATGATTTTCGTTGCGTGCTTCCAGAAAAATTTGATCCCAAACGTTGTGGTTCCATCGTCAAAATACCAAGACCACTCATTTTATTCCTTCTGATAAATTGGCGTCCATATTTTTTTTCTTAATTTTCATCCACCATGAAACGAAGAATTCTAATTGCTAATTCTGAGGCAACTTGAAATTGCCGTTATTTAATAAGAAACCTTCCGTCCAAAATTAATTAATGTTAAGCAGATTAATTTTTCAACTATAACTCAATTTGTTAACTTAATTAAATATACAATGCCGAAAGGGGAGTTGGACCTTCAAAAATTGGTGGGATGGGGTGGGGGTGGAAGAGGATAGAAAAATAAAACCAAGAAATATAGTTCTTAAAATCAAGGGTTTCTCTACAATTTGGGTCACAAATTTTGTCTTAGTCTTTGCATTTTCCTTGGATTGTGACGATTTTGCACATTTCGTTAAGTTGTTACCTAGGCTAATAGGTGATTCGGTGAAAAATATCGATTTTAAAAACGATGGTTTCCATTTGTCCGAGTTTTCTCAGTTCAGGCTGCTACATATCAGTTGAACTTTATTCGAGGGTTTAGAGATACATGCCTCAAAAGATCGGGCATTTCTGCTTTTCTATCTAAAGCGCTGTTGAGCTGCTCATTCTCTTAGAGGAAATTGATTTAACTAAGGAGAGCTCAACCTCAGTACTTTTACTGGAAATTTACTGAAAATCTGTTGAACCAATTCTTGTAGTTCACATATGTTATACTAGAATTATGTAAAAAAAGTTTCAAGTGGAAGTTGATAAATCAG